GAAGGAAGACAGAGCCAAAGTCCTCAATGGATAAGGGGACTTGGCCAGGAGAACTAAATGGCAATAACCTCAGAGGAGGGGGTTTTGTAGGCAGGTGCAGGACTACTGATCTCAAACATTTGGAGTAAAAAGGGGAAATTCTGCCCTTCCCCATTCCCCCAGACCTAAGGATTTGGGATGGCGAAGAATGAGCAGGGTCCATCAGGATTATCTGAGGAAGTGGTACTCTCATTCGATAGTAGGGTTTAAAGTTGTTTTTTTCTCAACCCCAGCTGCTTAATGAAAATAACTGAGGAGCTTTCAAAATTAAAGGCACTAGGGTCCACTTGAGACTAACTGAATCTGAATCTCTGGGGGTGCGGCTCTGAAGTCTCTCTCTCTTTTTTTTAAGTTTCCCAGGTGAGAGTGGCACAATGAAATTTGAGAACTTAAGGCAAGAAAAGTGAAGAGAGAATTTCATGAAGAGGTTGAGGGTGTAGAGGGATTTGTAATGGAATAAGCTCTAGTCACTAGAGGAAATGCAGAACCTTGGGGTGGAGCATATAGGAGATGACAGATGACTAGAGGGGCTTTTCTTTCTTTAAAAGGTAAAGGAATAGAGAAAGATGTCAGGATGAGAAATTCTGGAGAGATTAGCTGGCCCCTGGAGTTACAACCAAAACTCATGCACAGAGGGTCCCAAAGCCCAACACTGCAGTTTGTGGTCTAGTCAGCAATCTGTGGCCTTTGTTCCAGGTTCCAGTAGAATATGGGTGAATTGCTTAGAAAGTGGTACTCATTTGGGCTTCTGCTCTCTGGAAATATCGACCCAGAGCTGATCAGGCTGAATCTTATCAGTCCAAGTTTCAGATTAGGCTGAGTCAATATAAACGACCAGTGCTCACAGAATTTTCTGGGGGAGATACAGACATTTTAGTGTTCCTTATAAAAAAAAGAAGAAAAAGTTCTCATCTAGGCTCCACTCAATCACTAGACATTTACTGAAAACTAGGGCTTAAATCTGTTGAGTTTTTTTAATGCTACTGAATAATAAATAATATAGCTATTAAGAACTTAGTTTCTGTAGACACAGTTAGGACCTAGGTTCAAATCCTGGCTCTGACATCTGCTAGCTGTGTAACCCTGGGTATGTGGTGTAACCTCACTGAGGCTCACTTTCCTCTTCTACAAAATAATGATACTACAATAATAATAAGTCCTACCTTATCAGATTGTGGTGGAGATTAAATGAGATAACCCTAGAAGCACTTGGCATATGGTGAATGTTCTATAAATGATAGTTATTGTGTGCAGACATAAGCCAGGTACTAGGAATGTTGGAGTGAATAAGATACAGTCTCTGCTGTCAAGTATCTCAAATTTTAATGGGAGAGATAAGTATGTAAAGAAGAAATAGCAATCCAGTGGTGATAAGTGCCAAGCTCAGAGGGTACACTAGGTAGCTCTACGGGAGCATGAAGAGAAGGGCATTTAACTTTGTCTGCAGAGGGAAGACAGGAAAAGTCTTGCTAAAGGAGAAGCCCAAGAGTGAGTTTTCAAGAATAAGGACCAATGGGAGTTATCCACACAAAGGGGGAGGGGCAGTAAAAGATAAGACTTTTCAGGCCTTGGCCTAGCATGTGTAAAAGCTTGGCGGTAAGAGAAAACCTGGCAGTTTAGGGAGCATGAAATGGGTTTGGGACAGTGGTGGCCATGACAAGAATAGACAGTGGAGAGGTAAACTGGGGCAGATCACGCAGGCCCCTGGATAGCATGCTAAGGAGCATGAACCTTTAATATATGGGTAATGGGGAGCCATTTAAGGATCTTAAACAAAGGCAAGAATGCAGTCAGGTTTGTATATTTCAAAAGATTACTCTGGCCACAGAGTAATGAATAGCAGGGGGCAAAATTGGAAGCAGTAAGAACAAGAGAGAAATGCTGGTGCCTTGGACTAAGATAATGGTTTATGGGGATGAAAGGAAGAAGGTGGATTCAAGACGAGTTTGGGAGCTAGAACAGAGAGAACTTGGTGACCAGTTAAGGTAGAATTAAAGTAGGAGTCAAAGAAGCTCCAAAATTTATGGTTTGGGCAGTTGGGCCAGTGCTGGATTACCCAATAGCCAAAGTAAGCATGTTTGTTAAGGCCCAGCAAATCAGGGGCACCCAAAATGTGGAAACATTTTGATTTTAGATATACAGTTTTTAAAAAGACTTTAATCATCATAGAAATATCAGAACTTTTTGGACTGTTACCTATTTTATGCTTTAGTATTGTTTTTAATTGAATTATGTATTGGAGGGGGAGGAAGTCGTAATCTTTTCATTGCTTAAAGCTTCCCAAAGAGGAGGAGTCTCAGGTCTTAATCCTTCTCTGATCTGAGTGGCTAGTGGTATCATTTCACTGAGAACACGGACACTGGAGGAGGAGCAAGTTGGGGCTTCCTGCCTCTGTTATGCTTAGCACTGAGTGAAGGAAATGGTATGATTAGGCTTGTAAGGGACTGGCAATCAGGTGGCCTTCTAGGGAGACACATAGCTCAGCCAAAGTGGAGTGTTTATGTCTAAGTCAATATGCTTCAAATGTGCCACCAGTACTAGTGGAGTAGTAGGGAGAGACTATTTGCTGGCAAGAGAGATCATAAATGCAAGTTGGTATAATGACTGGAGATACAGATTAAGCTAGGAGTTCTTAACCTGGAGTCCAGGGGAATTTTGAACCTCTGAAATTATATGCAAAATGGTATATATGTGTATAGTGCATTTATATGGGCAGAAGTTCCACAGCTTTCTTCAGATTTTTCAGAATGGTCTTTGACTCCCAAAAGGTCACCAACCACCAGGAGTAGATTTACTATGAAGTGAATAAACCTTCTTCTTCAGAGTTCTTCACTTGCCTGGGACTCTTTCAAGGCCTTAGGAGGGGCACTAACAATTTCGTATTGTTTTTACTTAAAGGGAGCTTTCCTCTCAAATTACATAAAGTGTTTGGTCCCACAAAGTCTGGATCTACCCCCGCCAACCACAGATTAGGGAATTACCCAATATGAATTAGTATCTGGGGTGGATGCCATCCAAGAGGAATGAGTGTAAAGAAAGGATTGCAAAAGGCCAAAAACTGCACTGGGAACGGCACAAGAAGGAGAGGCAATGCCAATCACATGAAGAATGGTCACGAGGGAGGAGGAGAATCAGACCACATTGTCAAGGAAGTAGAGAGAGAGGTGGTTAACCATGTCCAACATGGATGGGAGATCAGAAAAAAGGAAAAATAAGGCAACAATTACAGAAGTAGCTAGGACACCTTCAGTGGAGTGGCAGGAACAAAAAGCTGACTGTTCTGTTAGCCTTTCTGGACAAGTAGAAATGGTAGTTGGACAAGTAGAAATGGTAGCTACAGTCCACAAACATGCGGGGACAGTAGAAGTACCAACAGAAAACTCTAAACTTCACTGTTAGTTAGGATAATATTCAATAAAGTAGGCTCATGGTAAAAATAGAATCTATGCTGAAGTTAAGTTAGGTGGCATGTATGTACTTGTCAAAATGAGTCCTAGATGTGTTCCATGGCCAGGCAAAGGCCTTGGGTGACCCTTGTCCCTGCTCCGCACCCCACCCCCACCCATGCCTCCAACCTCTTTCCTAATCCTGTATCGTAATCCTCTTACTGCTTGAATTTCCATATTTCTGCCCCATATCTCTGTCCTCTGGCTGGAGATATGGAGCAGTGAGAGAGGGTAGAAAGAGAAAAGAATCCATAAGAATGACATTTGAACATGAAAGGTTTTGAATTTAGAATTTATCCTGGGTAACCCACAAGACCAGTAATCCACATGTGGTTAATTGAGTGTTATCTGAAATTCAGGCCTAGGAAACATCTATTTGAACCAAAATGTTCTAAATTGGCCACCCTGGAAATTCTGAAGTTGATTGGTTTCAATTGGGCAAATGTGGTTCATGCTGACTTGCCTAGTATTAAGAAGGTATTACTTTTTTGAGTGTTAAATGCAGCCTTATCAGACATACATGCTCAAATCTGCTGGTATGTCTATTATGGAAGCTACTAGAAGCCATTTTACAGTGTTTCCACAGTAACATCCTCCTGGGATCTATTTCGAGATAGGCTGATTTCATTACAGTTCCCAACTTAATTTCTTCAGTGATTATATCTTTAAAGCCTTTTGACTTATTAACTATTGATGTGTTTATTCATAATTCTGTCACTATGAACAATTTGCTACTTGAGGACAATGATATTGAATGGCTAATATGACAGAATATAATAGGGACATGGAAAAGTGGCTACGAACTAGAATGACTAAACCAAGGAATTGGTTTGAGGTTTCTAAGAACTAAATAAAATTAATTCAGTGAAAAGAAGCAGTTTGTATTTTTTTATTAACAAAGTATTGCATAGAAAATGATTAAAAACATTGTTAATGATAAAGATTTGTAACATTGATTTGCAATAGTTTTCTCATTGAAAGAAGACCAAGAATCTATTAAGATATACATCATAATGTAAACGTGTAAATTAAAATTCTACCTACTTGATATTTAGCTATGGTTAACATGGAAACAATTCATAACACTTTTATAGATAGCTCAAGCCCTTTTCTTTTCCATTCTTTCTTTCTAATAATAAGCCTTAGCTTGACTTGGGTGTAATGAATTTCTTATTTAGTAAGTGGTATTTGATCCAACAAAGCCAGTTAAACTCAATATACCTAGATACCTGTGCATTACATCATTAGACTGGTAAAGGACATCAGTTTGACTAAAAGTTTTGTTTGAATTAGATTTTGGAAATTTGTAAATTATTTGGACATAACATTTTTTGTCAATCTATCTCTCAGCCACTTCTGCAAATAAAATTATAATTTCTGGAGTTAAATATTGTTAAAATTGTGTTGGAATCAGTTGTCTTTCAACTTTGTAATTGTTTTGATGAACCTAATTATACAACTTATGGATGCCAAAACTATATCCCAAATAAATATATGTTAACATTTTGCCTTTAGCCAATAAGAAGAAAGAGAAAGAACGCCCAGAGATCTCTCTTCCTTCAGACTTTGAACATACGATTCATGTGGGGTTTGATGCAGTCACCGGGGAATTCACTGTAAGTAAGCTCCTTATTTTGTTTTGTAAGCCATGAAAAAAATCCTCTTTGAAAATAGGTTTCAAGCAAGGATTGCCATGTCCCAAAATGTCAGCCTTGAAGTTTTTGATGATTTCAAGTAAGATGGACTTTGCCTAGACAATCACAGATGGAACCAGTGAGTGGCAAGAATATTGGCAAAATTGTTTTGTCCATCCTAACAAAAATGTCTGATCACTGTATAGTCTTCAACTCGATTGAAAATGCTAATTTACCATGGCACAGGAGATGCAGTCCTGGTAGAGAGACCCTGCTTGAGCCTATTCTTTATTGTTTGAAGTGAATCAGGGAATCATTGATTCAACTTGGCCAGTGAGGGCAATCTGTCTGAATAACTCAGGCTTTACATTGGAACCTGGATTGCTCAGATCAGTTAACCACACTAACCAAAAATCTCGGTGAAATTGACCTGTTCTTTCCTTTGACTTCAAGAACATAGCTTATTTTTAGGCTTATTAACAGGTATATTTTGTAGACATTCAAAATAACAAACCGCATGTTTCAGGAAGAAATATTGATGGATACATCATGTATGCTTTAGTGGTTATGTGCTTACCTTGTATATATACAATCCCCAGTAAATACCAATAAGAATTCTCCAGAAAGACCATAGCTATAGATCCAGCCTTTCTTTGGATATTTGTAGTGCTCGCATAGCACAAGATCTCAGATCTCTGACATTTTATACTTTTTCTTAAAAGATCTGGCATTTTTCTTAGATGAATGAAGGAAAAGATGTGGCTAGAAATATGTCCCCAGGAAGATCAACTACCTTTTTCATACTACTAAGGAACTCAATCAAAATGTGCATTCTAAGAGTAATTTTGAATACATTCAGAAAAAGTCTTTCATAGAACTGTCACCATCGATTCTTGGGTTCTTAAACCAGAGGTAAATTTAGATATTAAATAATTGAATTTCCTGTTTCATAACATGATAGTTAGTGAGTAGACTGTATCATATGATTAAGTGAAAAAAAAAGAGGGAGCAAATTAATTTGATTTGGAGAAGCAAACCATGTCTCTGAATTGACAATATGAAATAAGCAATATGAAAATGAAGTAGAAACTGAGTAAACATCTTGGCCTTGTGAAGTGATGTGAGCTGATTATTTCTTTGTTCTCAGTAGCCAGCAGAAGAGAACGTTAAGAAGTAATGCCATTGATAAAGTTGAGGTGCTGGTAGGATTTAGCCAATTTCATCCCTGGAATCAGAGACATTATTCAAATAGCCTTCAGTCTGAGCCCAGCCTCTGTTCTTTCATATTTGAGAATATTCTCTTAACTACACTTAGGAAATATAGCCTCACTGGTACCACTACCACCACCATCATCACCACCAAAAAAATAATAATAATTTTAATAATCTGAACAAGTTTAGACTTTTTTAAAAAAATCATAAACAGAGATTATGACTTTTTTCTGACGTTTGAAACAGTGAAAACACTTAAACTTTATAAGTGTCATCTAATAACTCTGCCCTTTTTTATTTTAAGAACTTTATCTTGCCGCTTTTGGCCTTTTTATTTTCTATGTGCTTTTCTACTGTTTAAATTTCTCTTACGTTTTATTGTTGTCATTCCATATTTTTCTTTTCTTTTTTTCTTCCTTTTTGTTTTCTGATGTGAAAGTTTTCTCCTCCACTATTCTCATGTGACATTCTGGTTCCTTTCATGTTGTTTATTTTTCCACTCTTTCCAACTTACTTCACATCTTACGATACAATCTCTCTATCTTGAGCTCTTTCTTTGTTCTTTATGGGCTCTGAATGGAAATGAAGGAAAGTGAGCCACCATCATCTTGCTGTTTGCAGATCAGCCATTTTTACTTTGCTGTCAATTAGAACTCAAAGAACCAACTAGAGAGGGATGGGATGGAATATGTGATGGGCATTCTTTCCAATCTTGAAAAACAGTTTGATGCAACTGAACCAAACCAACCAGAAACCTGTCCTGTCCTCCTGAAAACCCAATATGAAATAAAGCAGCAGTTTGGATGCAGTCAGTTGTTAGAAATCCATTGAATATATAGATAAGACACAGGCTAAATTTGGAAATCGGATGCACTTTATCATCATCTTGATGATCTTTTATAACTACTTGCCCACACATTATTTTTAAAGATACCAAATTCTGCCTTTTTTTTTTACTATCTTAACCTGTGATTTACATTTACTACCTTTAAAAATACCAAATGATAATAAGCTTTTAAACATCATTTTATTGGTAGGATTTAAAATTGGGTCCTAATTGCCGCAGTACCACTGATTTGTTGTGTGTGTGTTCGGAGGGGGAGGGACATATTACTAAATTTGATTATTGCAGTTGTTTAGGTTGAATTTTGAGCAATTTGTTGAACTATCTAGTCTAGTTGTTTTACAAGGGCCTGTTATTTTGAATATTTGGACACTAATTTGGTGTGTTGCTTGGTGATTACCCTATGGCTAATTGGCCTGTATAACCTTGTACACCTGGTCATACACTTGGACCTTGAGGTTAAAATTAGGTTGGGAGGTGAGATTTTTGGTGTTAAACTATTACAAGTCCTTACCCTTTATATTGCCATTTTTGTCCCAAATACTTCAGAACTCCCCCTTCCAGACCTCTAGACCTGTGACGGTCGCTTCAAGTCAATCAGAGGGAAAAATGGTATGAGTGATATAAATTATCATTTTTATGATAAGATAAATGCTTGGCCTGTTGTATCATGCTGCCATTCTCCTGGGCTACACTAGATAATCCCCAGCTTGATGTATATCTGGTTGTTATTGGATACATGGTCAGGCGTTGATATGTGCTCCTGCTTCTGATGCTCACACTTCTAGGTCTCCATTAGCTGTCTAACTTTTGGGATTTGTACCTCAATTTGGAGTAATGAGATGGCTTTCTGATTATGTGCCTTTGTGGCATACATTCAAATTTAAGTGTCAGGTTTCATTGATTAACTGGTTTATCTCAACTTAAAAAAGAAATTATGTCAGCAGTGTAGTCATGTGGTAAATATAGTTGTCTGGAGAATCTTCTACAATTGACAGCTTTTTTTCTGCTGTCTAGTGATCACAAGACTATTTATCACAAAAGTTTAGAAGTGCCATGAGAATGTATAATAACTGCAAATATTCTAATAATTATGGTAATGATCATGCCAATGATGTCTGCTCTAGTGGTTATGTGCAATGCGTACCTGGTTTTGTAACACTTAATAACTCCTTTGGCCATTACAGTATTAACCAAATGCTATTAATTGCACTTAGAATCAGAACTGGGATCATGCATGGGCTCCTGAGTTCAAATTCTTGGCTTAAGGCTTTAGCATTAAATTGCGTGATTAATGCATGTAAAAGTGTCGTTTCACTGTGCTTGGAGTAACCCCAAATGCCAGGAATCAAAGACCTATATCCCAAATCAAACCAGTTGGGTCAAAGCATGTTTCTGTAGCGTTAGAGATATCTTTATTTAGACAAAGCTGTTACCTTATATCTAATCTTATTTTGTGGGAAGTGGGACTTCAGAACTGTGCCACTGAAATGGAAATTATTCATATATGGTTTGAAATGAAATGGTTGCCCTTTCCCTGGTCCAAATGTCTAAGAAACTCAAACATAGAGTCTGGCTGTGTGGGAAATCCTTAATCTAGTTTTCTCTATGCCAGCCATGACTTTAGCTACAAAGTGCAGAAGAATCACATCAATGAACACAAATGTTAAATTCAGCATCACCATATAGCTATACTTTGAATTTTAGCCACACAGATACTTCCAATGTGAAACTGAGAATGGTTAACCAGAATTGGGGACTGAAAATTTGTAAGTTCATCACATGGCCATTGGCTACCTGTGATCACCCAGTTATAATAACAACTTACAAATTATTGTGGAAGCTTTTCATGATGCCATCCTTCTTCCCTCCAAATTCATGTTTCTGCCTTTTAGTAATTTCTCCAGTCATTTAATGGTAATTATTATTATTGCATATTTATGGAGGAAGCATCTGTCCAAAAGTGGAATTATTCATCCAAACTTTGAAACATTGTTGTTTTCTCTGTTTTCTTAAATCTGTTGCCCTGTAGCCTATCCTGCCCCTGATTTAGTTAATACCTCCCTATTTTCATAACCGTCCCACTTTAGAAGGGATTACCCCCCCCATTCAGACCCATTGGTTTCATCTCCTCCCACCTTCTAAGTTGTCCCACATTCTGTTTTAACTTTCTTTTCTTTCTTTATTTACGTCCATTACAGCCAGATCTCTATGGCTCACAGATGTGCCCAGGGAAGCTCCCAGAGGTGCGTCACAGGCCCAAAAGAAGCTTGCATCAAAGTGCTTCTTTGAGATGTCATAGCACTGCAGCAGCAGGTTCATGTGTGTGCAGTAGAGTTGTTGCTTGGCTTATCTCACTTTTTTGTTGTCATTCCCAAACTCTGGAGGCCCACGTCACACATTGTTTTGCCGAGACTTCATAGGACAAAGCCACATAAACTGTGTCTAGATGCACTTCAGGAATACTGTGTCTGTTTCTTGCTCCAAGTTGCTCTTGGAGGTTGGATAATTATGAAATGGGGACATCTCTAGGCTGAACGTGTAGGAAAGAATGCTGAATGTTCAATGCAAAACTAACCTCTCTGTGTAATTTTTGCAATTCTCCTTGGTTAGATTTCCAAATACTCCCTCCCCTCTGCTGTAAATGCTTCAGATTATTGCAAATTCTCACAAGGCTTTCACATCGTTGTCACAGTCCCCAGGTTCTATATGGCCAATGAATGAAGTGGGGAGGAAGGGATGGAGGGAAGAGAGGAGAAAGCTGCAGGGAAAATGCCCAAAGCAGCATTAATGTTACTATTTAGCATCTCAGTGGTTATTGGTCCTCCATAATTCTATTTTTGTCTCCTCTCAATCCCCCTTTATATTAAAGCTCTAGACCCCAAAAATTACACTTTATAATCACAAAGTATGAACTGACCAAAGGTGAGACTTTACTTTTATTCTAAAAGATATTCTGGTTACAGCATACCCAGAAACAGCTTATGTTATTCCAGTCATATGAAATCTATTGATCTGCACTATTCTATGCTGTGCACAAATTTAGAGAAGTCTTGCTATGTCTGCCCTGAGTCGCCAGAAAAAATAAGCTAAGCCGTAAACATCATTTCATGGATGAGCAGAGTTAATATGGAGGTGATTTTCATGCGCTTTTTTTTTTCTATCACAGTCATACTCTCACCTACCCTTTTTAAGTTGGATCCTAGTTTTACCTATGTGTTTTAATTAGAGAAGAGAATGATTGCATTATTAAGTTACTAACTTAAAATCTAGAGTGTAACTTCAGTTTCCCAAGTGTAATCCTACAGGTAGCATGGGCTTCTTGGTGAAGAACTTTACTGGAACATGAAAATGCAGCTGCTGAATGTTCTGAGCTGCCATTCTTTCCCTTTGGTTGTCCACAGGGAATTCCTGAGCAATGGGCACGATTACTCCAAACCTCCAACATAACAAAACTGGAACAGAAGAAGAACCCACAAGCCGTTCTAGATGTTCTCAAATTCTATGATTCCAAAGAAACCGTCAACAACCAGAAATACATGAGCTTTACATCAGGAGGTAAGAGTAAATCTAGGCTATCAAAAAGTGGAGAAGTAATTCTAATCTCAGAGTCTCGGGATTAGAACAGAACATCTGTAGGACGTTTGAAGTCAGTTCTAGTTCTCTCTACGAATGACTTCAGCATAAGTAAACCAAAAGATGAGCTGGAAGTTGAAGTTGATGTTAGGAGATTTACAGTACTTGGGTGATTTTAGAACTCAAATAAAGAAATTGTTCAGTGAAGCAGTAGTTGTCCGTTTGAATCAGCAATCACGATTATTTTGTCGCTTCACAGGCATGAAGACACTCAGTCACTTAGGATCAGGTCTCGTGATGTGTTTATGAAGTAAGAGGTGTATGGATCAAACCATGGTCTCTTGAAATTTATTTTATCCCTTAGCTTCATTGAATTGCATGATGATGACAACATAAATTTTGTGGTTGCCAGGTTATTTGGTCAGACCTCAAAATCAGACTTAAAAAAAGAAATCATGTCATGCTATTTATAAGAGATCTAAATGGCCATGTTCCTGCTAAATCTCAACTTCATTTGCTAGCATTTAGACTAGGCCTTTGCTTGAAGGTTTGATGTTCAAATTTGCACTATAAGCAACCAAAAACAATATACCAAACAATACCTTTGCATTTTGAGAAAAATTATCTAGGTTGCCTCTCTAGAACAATTTATTATTTAACATCTAAAAAAAAGAGAGAATATTATCATTAGCGCCCCAGCTATAAAGAGCCCCTACCTCTCGGCATTGGTTTTAGTATACGGCAGGCTTGAAATCTCTTCAAGAATGGTGCAAAGATACACTTGGAAAGGAATGAGTGTCTGATTTCGCCATAACAAATATCAAAGCCCAAACTTAAAGGCGAGTGGCAATTCACATGCTAAATGGGACTTATTTTAATGAGATGATTGCTAAATGCTGTTATACAATGGTGAAAACCTAGAAGAGAAAAAAAGGCACCAAGGACAGCTTTTTATGATAGTCTTCCACATGGAATAAAATGTCTAAGAGATGCTGGTGACACATCAAATGATGCTTAATGTAAGGAAATCTAGAGCTGTGCTCCAAGTTCACTGTAGAATCATAGGCTACCAGAGCCGAAAACGCATTCAAGAAATCATTTCAGTGTACCCATTAATACCTTCTAGATTCTCAGAATTTGGTCTTTATTCCAAGTAGCCACTGTTTTTTAACTCTTTTATTTTTATGTGTCGAATTCTCTCAACTTACAAAGATGAAATCCTGAAAACTATGTTAGAACTCAACAGTATCTGAGTTATTGCACTGTTCTGAGCTGAGTGAAACTCACCATATGTTTTCTGGATGCCCTAGTATTGAGACTGACTAATAGGATAGGAGGGCGAGGGGAGGTGGGGAAGAGAGGAAGGAAGGGAAAGGACGGGGGGAGGTTGAGAGAGAACGAAGAAGTGGGGAAGAAGTTCTGGGTAAAGATGTATAGAATCATGTCTATCAGGAGTAGGTGATCTTGACATTCCTCTATGTGGATGAGATTCACTGGCGGCCTTCATTAAGGTCTGTAAAATGACGTGCTAAGAATATGGTGAGGATGTAAGGGTGTGAGCTATTTTAAGAAAAACTTTGTTGTTTGTCATAATATCTATTTAATACTGAATTGGAGAATTTCCTTCTGGTCAAAAGCATGCAGTTTTGTTTTTTTTAGTATGGTCTCTAAAAGAGGTATTCTTTATGAAACAAAGGTGACTTCTTTTCCTTCACTTTTCAGATAAAAGTGCACATGGATACATAGCAGCCCATCCTTCGGTAAGTGAAAAATTGAAAATGGTTTTGTGATCAGTGTTGCTGGCGGTCCGACAGAATACAGTTGTGCAGATCCAGTTTAGATATAGAAACTTTTAAAAACAGTTTTTAAAGGTATAATTTAGATATATAAAATTCACCCATTTTTGAGTGTACAGTTTGATGAGTTTTAGTAAATTTATACTCCTATGCTACCATCACCACTATCCAGTTTTAGAATACTTTCTTCACCCCAATAAGATCCCTCATGCCTGCTTACAGTTAACCCCCACTCATCCCCACCCCAGCCCCAGGCAATCACTAGTCTGGTTTTATAGGTTTATCTTTCAGGACATTTCATGTAAATGAAATAATACAGTTTATGACCTTTGGGGATTGGCCTTTCTCACTCAGCATAACGCTCTTAGGTTCATCCAAGTTGTGTGTATACTAGTTTGTTCCTTTTTATTGCTAAGTAGTGTCCCATAGTATGGATGTACCACTGTTTGTTTAACAATTTACCCATTGAAGGATTTCTGGACTGTTTACAGTTTTTGGCTACTATAAATAAAGCTGCTATGAACATTCATGTACAAGTCTTTATGTAGATAAATATTTATATTTCTCTTACATATAGAATCTTGAAAATAATAATCGTAATGATAGTAACTTCTCTTTACTGATCACTTACAATGTGCCAGGCACTGGGCTAGTAATATTTTATATTTACTTAACCTTTCCTACAGCCCAATTAGGTAAGTCTTACCATTGTCTTCATTTTACAGGTGAGGTTCAGAGAGGTGAAATAAGTTGTCTAAGGTCATACCACTACACCTTTTAGTGTTACATGTTCCAAAAAACTGCAATGTGGTGGGAGGGGGTGACTTTGCCCAAAGTCACATAGATAGTTTTATCAGAGAAATGACTAGAAAATAGGTAACCTAGTTTAAATTCCTTGGAAATGCTGTTGTATTTGAAAGAATACCCACACACGTTAGACAGAAAATGATCATAGTCAAGGCTTCTCTTTGTGTGATTTTCATTTTGATACCCTGATAGAAACTATTATTTGACTCATTTGCTTCCTTAGGAGTGAAATATTTAGTGTTAGTGAAACTTTCCTAACTGTTTATTCAAAGAGTCATGGGTAATCAAGCTTATTCTTCCTTTTACAGAGGATAAATGCTGGCCTGCTTGATGTCACCCTGGGTGGCCAGTGTGACAGCAGTAGATCATTAGTGGTGAAGAGTAAAGGCTCTGAAATAGTATGGCAGTTCTTCAAAAATTAAAAATAGAATTACCATATGATACAGCAATTCCACTTCTGGATTTATACCCAAAAGAATTGAAAACAGGGTCTCAAACAGATATTTGTATACTCATGTTTATAGCAGTGTTATTCACAATAAACAAAAGGTAGAAGCAACCCAAGTGTTCATCAATGGATGAACGGATAAACAAAATGTGGTATATGCATACAATGGAATACTATTCATCCTTAATAAGAAAGGGAATTCTGACACATGCTACAACGTGGATGAACCTGGAGGACATTATGCTAGGTGAAATAATCCAGTCACAAAAAGACAAATACTGTATGAGTCTACTTATATGAGGTACCTAGAGTAATCAAAATTGTAGAGAAAAAAGTAGTTTCTGGGGGAGGTGGAAATGGGGAGTTGTTGTTTAATGGGTACAAAGTTTCAGTTTTTCAAGATGAAGAATTCTGGAGATGGATGGCAGTGCTGGTTGCACGATAATGTGAATATACTTAACACTACTGAACTGTGCACTCAAAAATGGTTAAGATGGTAAATTTTATGTTATGTATGTTTTACCACAATTGAAAATAAAATTTTAAAAACGGAGTGAAAGCTGTGGGCATAGGTGTTTAATCTTATTCCTCCACTTACAAGCTGTGCAGCTTTGGGAAACTGGCTTAGATTCTGTGAGTCTTTCTTTCCTTAGCTTTAACTGAGAATAATAACAGAACCTACCTCCTAAAACTTGTGTGAATATTGAATGTGATAATGCATATAATATACTTAGTACATTACCTAGCACATACTATGTGTTTATTAAATGTAAGCTACTATTACTATTATTTTTAGATGGCAACAAAAGGAAAAACACACTCTCTCCACACGAGACTTGTTTGAGGCCATGGTACTTGTGCCTTGCTCAGATTCCCCAAAGCAGGACAGAATGTAGCCCTACCATTCTCACTGGTCATTTCCCCTCCTTTGTCTTCTTTGCCGTGACACCTTCCTGGGCCACACTGAAAACAGCATGTGAAGGGAGGTAATAGCAAAGTGGGAAAGGCAAAAATGTCAACCTTCCACGACCAATACATACCTAACATCCCTTGATTTAAATAATATCGTTGTTGTGCAATAATGGCTGGGTATCCTGGCAAAGAAATAGTTATTTTTTTTTAGGTAGGTCAGTTATTTTATTTTCTTTCCTTTTTATTTATTTATTTTTATTTTATTTTATTTTATTTATTTTTTAATTTTTTGTTTATTGCAGTAACATTGGTATATAACATTGTATAGATTTCAGGTGTACATCATTATACTTCTATTTCTGCATAGATTACATCATGTTCACTACCCAAATACTAATTACAACCCATCACCACACACATGTGCCGAATTATCCCTTTCACCCTCCTCCCTCCCCCCTTCCCCTCTGGTAACC